CAACTCCAGCACAGGCCAGTAACACGAGTTGTTCAGAATGCATCAGGAAACAGGCACTGCGGCCCAGGTCCTGCCCCCGAGGGGATCTCAGATCAGTTCTAGGGAATCTGGCTGGCAGGCAGCACTGCACAGAAGCCCCAGGCCAGGGCCCACAGGTTGGGCGGGTGTGAACAAATCAGGCTAGCAGTGGGATCACCTCCTCTATATATCTGCTAACAAAAGACCATTCAAGAGAGGACAGACAAGCAGTCCCAGTGGCAGAAACAGAAACTCAGAGCCACTGCCAGGCCAGAGGCCCAGGGGCCAGGCCCACCTACCCTACCCACAGCCATACCACAGTGACCTGGCAACTTGGCCGGCCTCTTATACAACCTCTGCCCAACAGCCTACCTCCTTGAAATCACAGCTCGGACCTCTGTGTTTGAGCCTGTAAAGTACTTTGCAATATAGTCACATTGCCTTGCTTGGGGGTTGATGTGGCATGGAGATAAGTCCTGACCCTTAGGGCCTGCATACCTAGGGTCTATCCTACCTCTGGGTGGTGAGGGTACGTTTATGCATGCATGGAGGATTTATCTGACCTTGTTTATCTCTGCTTCAGGAAACGCATTGTCCCCTCCTTCCTGACACATGCCTTCATTTCCACTGTTCCCACAGAACCAAGGCCCATACCTCTTTCCACATACTGCCACCACTAGGGTGTGTGTCTCCCCCATTGGGCTCTGAACTTCCTGGGTGTACAGCCACATTCTAGACAGGTCTGAATCTCCAGAACTTAACACAGTAGCTGCTCAATAAATATTGATGACTGACTGACTGGGCACTTCAACATCATTATCCCTTTAAGTCATAATCCAGTCTAAACTCAGAACAACCTAAGGATTTGTATGAAATTTTGAAGGAGTTTTAAAACATTCTCAGTGCCCTCTCTACCCCACACTTCCCCATGTCTGCTCTCTAGGTCTCAGTCAAATCCCAACCACCAAAATACTATGATAAATCAGCTACCTTCATTGACTTTAGCCCTTAAGCATCCCAGACCTAAGATGGAGTCAAATTCTTAGTTTTGGACTCTACCAAAGGAACTGGGTATAGGAATGAAGGAATCCACACCTTGGTAATGTATGGTTTGCACCTGGGTATGAGTGGTTGCCAGAAGACAGCTTTGAAGGACAAGTGGGCTTTCAACACCTCCTGGTGAGTGAGGACTTTTTCCTGCCTATGCTCAGCTCACATGTTCTCACTGGGCTTTCCCCATGTGTCTGACACCAAGCCAGGCACTGTCTAGGGGATAAGCTGACTTTGCCATTGAAGAGGTAAGTGGGGGCGAAGGGGAGAAAGTGTGGACATAAGTAGCTAAAATGAAAGTACATTGGGCCGCAGAGCATTCAGTGGTACAGGGAATAGGAAAGCATGTCTGTTTCCCAGGAATTAGGAAAAGCTATTTGAAAGGATGAGCAGTTGAGAGGTGCCTTGAAGGATGATATAATAACAACAAAATGTCATTCTGATAATAATGTCACTGCTATCATTACTATCATAGCAGCTAATAGGTCCTGAATGTTTGCTATGTGCTAGGCACCACATAAAGCACTTTACATAGCTTACCCTTCTCAACTCTCATGCTCATTTGACAGATAAGAAAACTGAGGTTTAGAAATATTAAGAAAACTAGCAAGCATAAGAATCCAGATAAGAGCCCAAGTGTGTGTGTCTCTGAAGGCTATCACCCCCAAAGTCAGCAGGCTGGAGTGATAGAGCTTATTCCAGATAGGACCTAAGCACAGGCAGAAGGGAGGAAATACAGACATGAAATGACCATCAGAGAAGGTGCCTAGAGAGTAGCTATAGCCAAGTTCCTGAGAGCCTTGAGTGTCAGTGCCAGGCACCTGTCCTTATTAAGAGGCAATGGAGAGCCACAGGAGGCCTGATGTAACTGGGCTTGATTAGCAGATCAGTGGGAAAATAGACTGGGATGGAGCAAATGGAAAGGAAGAGTCCATCACAATGGTCTGGATGACAGAATGCATCTGGGTGAGGTGAGAGGGTGTGAGAATCTGTGAGCGCGTGCCCATCTATGTGTTAGGTCTGCTAGATTATGTACATGTTTGAAAGGGAAAGTGTGTTAACTATGAGTGTGCGTGTGAGTGTGCAGGGCCTTTCTGTTGAAGAAGAAGGTTGCAGAGCCTTTCTGGTGGGAGGTGGGGTCAAGTAAGCAGTGGGAGAGAAGAAGGGACATGACAAATCAATTGGTCTATCTAAGGAGGGCTCTGGTGAATGAGAAACCATCATTTCACAGCTCTGCGAGCCCCCAGAAGCGCACAGAGCCTGGCACAACAGAGGAACTCAATTAACATTTGTTAAAATAATGTAAGAATGAATCTAAGATCTTGGCCTCAGGTCTCTTCTGAGGCCTGACTTCACCCTTCAGCAGTGTGTGTGTGGGGGGGGTCACTGTCATTCCAACTAGACCCTCCCTCATCTCCAGTCCCCTCCACCCCAGATAAGATCTTCTGAGCTGGAGCAGTTACACTCCCAGAGCCCCAGCCCTCTTCCTGGGCCTTGTGCTCCCTCTAATATCTTTCTAGCAGCTCCAAGCTGACCTCATACTTTCTCAGGTCAGGTTCTTCCCTCCTGCCTCCTATTCCAAAGCAAAGATGCTGCCAAACTGGCCCCAAGCTTTTGCCTGAGCTCAAAATATACTGCTTCTCATCAGGTGCAGAGAGAACTGACCAACTCTCCCTGTCCCACTCTCTAGCTGGCCAAAGGCTCTCCCTCCAGAGGATTTCACAGACCCACCAAAGGATGGCCTTAACCTCATCCTCTCCAGAGGACACTTCTTTCAAGACTCTGCCCAGTTCGTTTTCATCCTGGCAGAAAAGACCAGGTAGACCAGTGTCTAGAAGGGGCTGGCTCCCATGGCCCAAGAGAGGAAAACTTGGTCTCAGTTTCTTAGGTGCCTCCTGTCCTACCAAATGTAAGGGGAGGCTTTCTCTGGAGTAAACAGAGAAGAGCTCCCTTCCTGTTCAGCTCAGCTGCAACCCTGTTTTATGAAATAATGATTACATTTCAGCACCTAGAGAGAAAAGGGATCTCTTTCAGATCATATAATCTACAAAAATTTAGAGGAATAAATGCCTTTGAAATCATGGAATCTAACCCTACCCCCCCAAAACAAAGCAGTATTGACAGACATGGAAATGAACAGGTGTGGAAGTAGAGGTTTAAAATCTTGGAAGCTTTCAGTTGCTTTAGATCAATCTAAGCCATTTCTGGCTTTCACCAAAACCCAGTTTGCAGCCAAGAGCATCTGTGGAATAAAGGCACTTACCCTTGGGGCAGAGCCTGGACGAGAACCTGGGTCTATGGCTCCAGGCACGTAGCCTGTATTCTACAGGCTCTCTGCCTCCTGGGGCTGGGGCTGTCATGACTGATTTATTTCCTCCAGAGCACTTGGGCAGAAGCTGGTGAGTGATTTGTTAGACAGTGAGTCCTGGGGGCTGCCTGGCACAGGCTGCCTGCCATCCAGATGGCAGCCACCTGAATACAACACGGCTATGGGGCAGGGAAGCATGTGCTCTGATTTATGGGGGATGAAGGTAGGCTGGCTCTGAGCAGAGACTCCTAGGGCGGGTCCAGGAGCCTCAGGCTTTACTCAGGGCCAGGGCATGGAGAAAGCAAACAGTGGAGAGATTTAAATTCTGGTCTGAGACCCACCTCTTGAGTCTAGCACTGAGAAGAGGGTCTCCCCTTGGGTATCTGGAAGTGTGTTTCTCTCTATCTTCCTGTCAGGGTTCCTGGGGAAATGTTTCCTTCTGGGCCTTCTTAGTCTTTCCCTATATGCTTTGGCATAGAGCTGATAAGGCAGGAAATGTCTGGTCTTCCAGCTGAGATCTATATAGAAGTACCATGTGTGTGTTGGGGAGGTGATGGTATGGGTTATAGTTTGTGTGTATGTGAGCATGCACAATGTGATGGCAGGATGTATGGGTAGCATTGTGAGTAGTGTGTTGTAGTGAGTTATACATATGGTGTATTTGGTGTGTATGCGATGTGATATATGTGTATGAGTGGTGGTGTGTGTGTAGTATGGTATATGTACATATATGTATTTGGGTGTGTTTGTGATATGTCATGTGGGGGGGATGAGTGGAGTGGGTAAGGGGCCATGTAAGTTTGGGTGGGAGCTAGCTATGCAGGGAACCCTCCCAGAGAAGCCAGATAACCAGTATCTAGGCAGCCATGTTGGGGGGAGGGGAGGAGATCTGGAGGTGAGGAATGGGCAGAAAAAGGAGGGAGGCTGAGAATTAAAAGGGAATTTCCATGGCAACTACCAGGCACGTCACAGGCAATAGGCTAAGTTGCAGAAACAGATATACACACCCGCATACACAATATGAGAGCACCAGGTCCCCAGAGTGGGGGTCCTTTCATCAGAACCGACTACCCACTAATCCATCTCCAAACCTGGAAATCCAGCCCAGCCTCAGAGCACCATGCCAAGGAGACAAAGAAAATGAAGACAGAGGTCACATGGATGGGAAGAAGCCTTAGCTGCCTCAGCCCCTCACATCTGGGAGGTTGGCAGCAGGGGTCTGAGCAGGCTCATTTCTCCAGCACAGCTGCTCCCTGCCCCAAACTTGGGTGCTTTCTCTACCAGCCACCACTTGTAAGAGCCAGAAGCAAGCGCCAGAGGCTGCAGGCTGCTCTTCCAACTCTCCACGAAGCTCAGCGAGACACAATGTGGGAGGCTCTGCCAGGGTCAGCCCTGCCGGAAAAGGGGCCTAGCAGGAGGAAAGGAGGGATTGGGGCGGGGAGGGGGTCAGAGCCCCCTAGAAGAAATAGGTTCCGGATAAACAAGGAGAAAAAAATTGATGCAGGCGTTCTCATGAATCCCCATGCCCTGGAACCACAGCCTTTCTTTACCGCCCCCCCCGCCACAGGCCTGCCACTCCCCAAACCAGCAAGTTCCATTTTGTATTGCTTGTGTCCACACTCACATTAGCCACCTTCCCACGCTCTGCTCCGGTGTCCACAGCTTCCAAATAGCAAAGGAAAGACTCCCCCTGGGTGTACGGTGGTGCAGCCCTTTCGCCTTCTCCTAAAAACTACAGCCTCGAGCTCCAGGCAGCAGCAAGCGCTCTTCCAGCCACCAGCTTCACCCCACCTCCAGCGCCTGCCTCCCCTTCCGACGCCTACCTCCTTTTTTACATCCCAACCTGATTTCCGCTGCCCAAGCGGCAGGTGTTGGTGAAGACGGCCCACACCCACGAAACAAACAAACCCTGCAGCTCCCCGGCGTCCGGGATCCAGCCCCACCCTAGATTCTCCCTCCTGAAAGAAGAACCCAACTTTATCACCTCCTCCGCCTCTTACCTGCACACCGCCGTCCCCTCCGAGACGATCGCGGGAGGACACACAGAGTGCGGAAGAGCTGGGAGTGGCGGGCCTAGGGCAGGACGGTGGAGAGGCTTTCTCTGTTTTCCCGCCTCCCCTCAGCCTAGGGCGGGAGGGGGAGACTCGCGTCCTGCGGGGTGGGACCAGTGGGCGGAGCCCCGCGAGCTTTTCGGGCGACCGCCGCCTCGCGGTCGCCTTCCGCTGGCTTCGGGATCGCGTTCCCCCGGATCCCTGTGGCCCTGGCCCCTGCCCTGGCTCGGGCTCCCGTCTCGCCCCCTAGCCCTCCGGGCAGTAAGGGATGCTTTCCCAGGTCGGCCACTTCCGAAAAGCAACAGGAGCCTGCAGTGGAGGGGCGGGCCAGAGCCAGCATGGGTTTACCACGGAGCCGCCTTTTGATTTTACTCTAGTGATGGTGGGAAGAGAGCAGGACAAACACAATGACAGAGCTAGTGCCACTCTGAAATAGAAAGCTGAAGGGACCAGGGGAAAAAAAGATAAAATAACCCAGCACCAGACGCAGCAACCCACGTTTATTGGAGCCTTGGCAGTTAAGGGGAATGTGCACCAAATGTGCACCATTTATGTGCACGTGAATGGCTCTGTCCTGGCGTCCGTGAGTCGGCTCCAGTTGTAGTTGCAGCTGTCATTTCAGCTAGAGCCAGATGTGGTGCCAGGGATGAGGTGCTCAACCCCAACCACAGATTACTGCTCAGAACCCCCTTTTCAAGATCCTCCCGCCCCCATCACAGTACTCCCCTCTCTCCCGCCCACTCCTCAGGGTCCAAATTCAAGACATATTTGAAGATTTAAATCCTAGGGCTACAGAACTCAAGCTGTGCCTTGATCTAGAGCCCATGTGAAAATGGCTCTGAGACCACTGACTTCCTGGGATGCTTAATCTAGCCCTCAGAGTGAGTGCTCAGTGAAGCAGCAGTCACGGGAAAGAGTAGGCTTATAGGAAGGGAAGAGGCCAGGCACTGGCAGAAACCGCAGAAATCACAGAAACAGGGCAACGGCTGACCACTTAACTGGGGGCCTGGAGGCCATGCTGCTTGCCATGAAGCTGCCCAGCCTCAGCCAAGATGGGGCAACAGGGTGAGGGGTGGCTCCTGAGAGAGGCTGCAGTGTCCAAGCCTGGGCAGGGCCTCAGGGACTTCATTACAGACCCCAAACCCTGGGAGGATGAGTACTGCTAGAAAGAGTTCCAGCCCTACTTCTAATACCTCTGTCCTGGGCCTCCAGTTTCTCATTTGTACAATAAAAGAGGTGGACTACATTATGCTGAGGCCCCTTTCAGCTGGAACCCTAAGTGATTTAATTGTTTTAATAAATGGTCAGGTCTCAAAACCTCAAGGCAGGAAATTTACATAAATCCAAAAAAGCTTTGCACATATTTGAAAGCCATGCCTGGCTACTGAGACCATGAGGCCCTGGGGAGGATAGCTCTGATCCATGTCACTTTACATAGACTGAGTAACATTTGTGTTCCTGTCATTTCCTCCATAAGCTGAGGACTTGATTACAATTCGCTCTAGATGAGAGAGATCCAACCATGCCACTTGCTAAGCCCGTGTCCTTGGGCAAGTAGATTAATCTCTCCCAGATGCCTTTGAATACTGCCTTAGCCTGTTGGCTAACTCTGTGCTGCTTTTTGAAGTTTTTACTGGCAAGGACTCATCAAACCCAGGCTGCGCAAGCCTGTTAGGGAAAGGAAAGACCAGGGGTCAGAACTCCCAGGCTGAGCTACTTCTTAGTACCAGCCCCTATCCTACCAGAAAATTTCAAGGTGTTTGGCCACATTATTTCCCAGGCATGCCTGCCTGACACTGCTGAACAACAATAGGTGGCAGAGGGATGCCAGAAGCTATATTCACATGAGGAAGGGCAATGGTTTGCCTCTCAAATAGTGTTTTTTCCAGTCTATCCAGGAACACTGCTGAAAGGAGTTTCGGACAACACAGCTGTGAAGTCACACACAAGCTTGTTCTAGAGGGAGTCATGTCTCTTCTAGTGGGAGGAGAAACACATCTAGTCTCTACCCTATGCATCATATGGGCATGGGTAGAAAAAAGGTAGTCAACTGCTCCATTTGCTCTACACATGTATTGATATAAGGAGCTACTCTTCACTGAGCCCTGGGACAAGCTCTGGAGTATAATGCTGAAAGGAAAGACACACTAATAGCTGAGATATTTATCAAAAAGTTCCATTAATAGTGTGTGAATAAAACATGGTTCAAATCCCTGAGGGTGTAACTTTGAGAACTGAGCTGAAGGGTCAAGAGATGTTAAGGAGGTGAGACAAAGAAGCCAGGTATTGGAGTGACAGGCAGACTTGGAAAATGATTCTGACACAAGAACAGAAGCAACATGTGCAAAGGCTCTGAGGTAGAAGGAGCATGGCATGAAGGGAGCTACTGTGGCTCTCAGGCAGAGGAGACAAGCCAGAGAAGGAAGCAGACACCCAACCAGACAAGCCTGGTAGTTCCTGGGTTAATCCAACCTTTATCTTCAGGACAATGGGAAGCCACTAAAAGGCACCTACAAACTGTTGCAAGCAAGAATTGGGGAGTGGCTGGTTGTTGCCAGGGGACTGTCCAGTCAAGGGCTGTGAGGAGAGCAGTGCTAATGCAAAGTTAAGAAATGGGCCTGGATCCGAACTGAAGAGAACCCTACTTCCCTAGATGCCTGACCAGCAAAGAGAGAGAGAGAGAGAACCCGTGCAGGGGTGTACAGCCATGGTGGAAGTAGGGTAAGAAACCATCTCTGAAATACTCCTCCTCTGCTCTACTCCCAGAATTGGAACCATGGGACACATAGGGCTTGGGAGGACAGCAAAACTGTCAGAAGCATAAAGGACTGACTGCTCCAAGCTGTAAAGCATGTGCTCAAACTATGTAACTTACTGAGCAGCTAAAGCCCCATCTGGATACCACTTGCCCCAGTTCCCTTATACTGTGGCAAAAAAAATAGCTCTTCATTATGTCAGTTCCCGGGGTCACATGACCACAGGGAAAATTAAAGGAGCAAGACAAGAAGTCTTGAAAGGAAGACCCCTGCCCTTTCTAGCAGGTAATACTCCAAGATGAACTAAGGAAACTTTACAGGTGTCACTTCATCCTGGGGTGCAGAGTGAAAAACCAGAGCAGATCCTGCCCACTCTTGAGGCTCAGAGCAGGCTGCCCCAAGATACCCCACAATGGCATATTAATTATTTGGAATTCAAGTTACTTGAGAAATTGCAGTACAAGAAGAAAACTGACTTTTCTGTTCTATTAAAAGCAGAAGAGGAATGTCCCATATAGTAGATGCCTTCCCTGCTCCTGAGGACTGAAAGTTACCACAACAGTTTGACAAATCCAGAGTGGAAATCTTGTATAAACAAGCCTAATGATGCCTTTACTAATTTACTACCCAAGCCCAAACTTTATTCAGATTCCTCACTGAGGAACATCCAAACCTTACTTAGATTCCTTTCCAATGAGCACTAACTTTCTTTGTCCTGTAAATTTCTCACAATTTATTCATCTCTTTGTCTAAAAAGTATAAAAAGGTGTCTGGTTCAGTCATTTCTTTGAGCTTCATTTTATGATCTGAACATCATACTGTGATTCTCCCATGAGTATATGTTACAGTGTTTTTTTTCTGTGAATTCTAGACTTGTCTCAATTTTACTATGTATTGCTTGTTCAAGCATAAGAACTAAAAAAGGGAGGTAGGAATTCTCCCCATCCAACCCCTCAGCCAAATGCTAAGCCCTCAACCCCTGGGTCAAAACTCTTTCCTAACTCCTTAGCAAGAAGAGCTTGCTCACTTCCAAACCACTCCTTGATCCAGATCCCTTCCTCCCTCCCTAACTGTGCCTTCCCACACTCTTCTGGCTTCTCCCTAAACTATCTGTGCCAGAGAACATACAGTGGAATAAAGGCAGCATATTCAATAAATAGTGTTGGGAAAATTGGACAGATACATGCAAGAAAAAATGAACTGACCACCTTCTTATACCATATAAACTCAAAATGGATGAAAGACTAAAATGAAAGACTCAAAACCATAAAACTAAAAGAAAACATAGGCAGTAAACACTGACATTTCTCTTAGTAATATTTTTTCTGATATATCTTCTTGGGCAAGGGAAACAAAAATAAATAAATAAATAAACAAATAAACAAACAAACAAATAAATAAAGACTGTATTAAACTAAAAAGGTTTTGCATGCTATCATCAACAAAACAAAAATATAACCTACTAAATGGGAAAGGTTATTTGCCAATGATACACCAGATAAGGAGTCAATATACAAAATTTATAAGAAACTCATACAATTCAACACCAAAAAAAATCCAATTAAAAAAATAGACAGAAAACCTCAATAGACACTTCTCCAAAGAGGAAACAGATGGCCAACAGAAATATGAAAATATACTCAATGTCCCTAATCATCAGAGAAATGTAAATTAAAACCACATACCTGCCAGAACAGCTATGATCAATTAATCAACAACAAGTTCTGACAAGGATGTGGAGAAAAGGGAACACTTGTGCACTGTTGGTGGGGATTCAGACTGGTGCAGCCACTGTGGAAAGCAGGATGGAGATACCTCAGAAATTAAAAATGAAACTGCCTTATGACCCAGTGATTCTACTTCTGGGTATGTATCCAAAGACATCCAGAACACTAATTTGAAAGGATATGTACACCCCTATGTTCATTGCAGCATTATTTACAATAACCAAGATGTGGAAACAGCCCAAGTGCCCATCAATAGAAAGTGGATAAAAAAGCTATGTGGTACATTTACACAGTGGAATACTACT